CAAAACCACGCAGCAGTTACAGAAACAGAGTATTTCGTCCTTTAAGAGCAATGCTACTGTCAGCAATACGCAACAAAGTCACAATACAACTTCAAATCATGGTTTTCAAAGTTGAAGTTAAGGACTAATCCCCAACCACTTTACCTTAAGCACTCTATAGGTAATGCAACCGGTTTGTCCTATGAAAACTTCCTACTCATGTACAATTGAACAGAGAAGCCACCTAATGGTCAGCAATCTTCATCACCATTTTTTTTATCCCTTACTTATCATAATCTCTTTTGCTCTATGGAAAACATTAACAAACCTACGTGTCTCTAATCTCCACCGATCATATTTGGAATTACATTTGCCTCTGCACTAGTGTTATGCTTTTTAATGCTCTATGCACAAATTTATATTCCATAGAAAGAAGGAACCCAAGCTGAACAGTTTTCATACTACATAAGCACTTAGCTACTTAGTACAGAATTTCAGATACTGCAACTGCATAAACCATATATTACACATTAATTTTGCTTACTAATTTTTCATCTCTTTCATTTTCCCAGCAACCAAACAGAAACTAACCAAATTACACGTACCACCACCAAAAAATCTAACAAATATCTTAAAATATTGAAATCCGAATGAGCCATTATTTTATGTAAGCATTTATATATCGACTTGTCTAATTTCTATAATTAATACAGCTCAAACGACTAGACGCAATCAAACATTTCGTCGCTTATTCTTCTAATTTCCTACGGTTTTCAAGTAAGCAAACAGAAACTAACAAGACAAGCCCTAGAAAGCCATGAACTTACATGGAAAAACTCGAGCTGGTCCTCCAGGTTCTCGAGCGCGGTCCGAATCGCATTGAGGCTCTTGGCCTCCCGAATCGCCGAGTCATCGTCGTGGTCGAGTCGGAAGTCCTTCACGTAGACGTAGCCGGTCCGGTTCTCATCAACAGCGACGTCGTTGGCGTGCGGCTTCTTCTTGTCGGAACTTCTCAGGGCATTGACAGAGCTGAGGAAGTGAGCTCTCGAAATTGAGTGGATGGCGTCGCTGATCTTATCGTGCAGGTCCCAAATCTTCTCGAGCACCGCCTCAATTTCTTCGATTTCCATGTCCCATTTCATGGAGGGAAATTTGGGTGAGAAGAGACTAATTTCTAGGGCTTCAATTTTCAGAGAGCGTGGTCCAGCTGAGAGGGTTCGAGTTTGTTAGGTGTCACGGGTGAAGTGCGACACGTGGGAGTTGATGTAGCGCCAGCAACAAATAAAGTGCGCTGATACAGTACACACACCACTCTTTTATTCAAATGAGATGCGTAAATCAACGGACAATCTAAGCCGTCCATTTTAGCTATTTTTCGTGTTTTATGTCACACTTCTAACATATGTTTCCTTTGGGGTTTTTTGATAATCATATTATTTTTTATTAATAGGATGTTAGTTGAAATGGGCCATTTATTTGGTGTGCTATTGTTCTCAAGTGGTTCAAATCCCCACAGTACTAGTGTGCGTGTGTGTGAGTTTTTCCTAATTCCATTTCTTATTGAGAGCAGGGGCCATTCTGAGGGTGTGCAAGTGGTGCCATCGCTAAGTGCCCTCTATTTTTAAGGGCTCCCTATTTTTTTTACGTGTATATTATGTATATTAATATTATAGGTATTATATATATACTTGAAAGTGCAGGAAAGTAACACAAATGTGTATTTGGTTGAGTTGGAATTCATCCCCTTGATTTTAGTAGGCAATTTGGGTTCAAGTCCATATAGTGTCATTCAATGGTTGTTAACAATAGAAAAAAAGAAAAAAAAAGAAAAATGGAAACATGTCAAATAAGAGGAACGCACCCATAACTTTTCATGGAGAAGCAATTGCTTAAAACCACTACACTAGTGGATCCTTTGCACGGACCCTTTAATTTAAATTCAATAGAAAAGTGGATTGTGATCTTTATAAACAAGATAGTTTCTGTTAAGTTATTTCAATTGTAAGTTTTCGAGTATTAATTAATCAATCATTTGCATAACCAATAAATCATTTGAGGGATGTAGTGAGGAGTTTGTGTGTTGCGATCACACAATGGAACTTTTCATTAGGTGTATATAATAACATATGTTTTTGTAACTAAAGGAAAGTAGTGGCCTAAAATAATAAGATCGATTCTTTAATAATGACTGTGTAGCAAACAAACATATATATAAGAACATCTTAATTTTCACTTCACTCTATGTTACATTGAGAAATACATGAAAGAAGGAAAATAAACAATATAAAAACCTCACCCCCACTCAAACTATATTTTTCATGTTTTCGCTACAA